GAGGTAGTAGTAGTAGTAGTATTGAGAAAGATTAGCGACTGAAGAGATGTTTCCAGAAGCATATGACAGTTCAGTAAATCTAAAAAGGTCATGAGGAATTCAAAAGACCAGAATTTAAGAGTAGACAAATTGTCGATACACCTGCTCTATTGCAAACGATTTTTAGCAATGTCATTCAAAGTCTCTAATCATCAGTTAACATCGCTCAGTTCAGTTGTCAATAACTTCATGGATTTGTTCCATGTTTTGGTTTGCCTACCCCTAGCTTTCTTCCAGCCTACTCCTACAACACAAAACATTGCTCGTTGAGGCAATCGGTGGTTAGGCATACGTAACACATGTCCCAATCATCTCAACCGATAAAGTTTCAATACTTCATCTATTGATCTGCCATCTTTACCTAGTACCTCATCATACATATGTTAACCACATCACTTTGAACATCACATATTAAATCTTGGCTAATAGTTAACATAATGCTTCACATCTTTAGAGAGTACAATTTTCTTACGAAACGATACATTTTAATCCTATCATATCAGTATGATCAGTAGTAAATAAATCTTTCCTTACCAAATGAGAATGCACAGTACACGAAACAAGAATGACATCATATACATACCTCCGGTTGTTTGCATGTACTATGTATGATGTCAGAAGGATAAAAAACATTATATTCTCGGATTACAAATAAATGAGATGATGATGACAAGACAGTTATCCAGTGTGTTGTGTTTCCAGGTTTCTAATGATTAGTCTAACAATGACGTGGATAAAACACGCGCACAGACTTTCATAAATCAATACTATACATGGTTTTTGACAAGAAATAAACTATTTACTAAAATCAACATTGAATAAGTTGAACAAAAACAAAAAACAAACATTTGAGTGAATCAATGAACAAAATTACCTTTTTTAAGATTCGCTTTTTCATTGTACGTTTCCCATTAGCATGATTCACAGGTCGAGTAGGAGGACTTGAATTGTTTGCTTTGTGATTATCAACATCTGATGCTGAAGATGCTGACGACGACGATGATGATGATGTGAATAAATCTTCTTCATCTCCTCTATCACTTTCATCATAATCATCATCACCATCATCAACTTGTTCATAGTCGATTTCTTCTTTCATCATCTCTTTATCATCACCATCTCCGGTGTCGATGCCATTATTAGCATTATCGTACTCGTTAGCCCCATCAGCATCAACAACATCCTCCTCCTCCTCAACATCATCATCATCATCGATATGATGTTCTAATGTATCAAAATCATCATTACCAGAATGCACATTCGACGATGATAATGATGGTCCATGTGGATACAATGGGAATCTAACATAGATTAATGATTGTACTGAATGAGTTAATGCTTGCAATGGTCGAGTGAAACGTAATGGCATTTCCAGCTTGGATAAACCCGCGTCCAGATTATCAATTAAACATGGCATAACACGACTTGGACGTAGTTTGCATAATAATGAAATAATTTTCACTGTATTATTTACGACCGCATCAAATTTCGAGTATAAAAAGTAATCTAAACAAATTGGTGTGAATAAATCAACAACTTGATTCACTTGTTCCACAGATAGATAAAACTGAAAATACAAAGCAACAACAATAGAAAATACACATATTATTCATGAGATGATAAAAACCACACACACACACATACACACACAATGAACTAGTTGTCAAGATGAAATGTGGTGATTACTACTCGCAACGTGGCTTATGAGTAGTATATACAACGGTGTCATGTGAAAGTTACGACATGACAGAAGAGTGCCGGATCGGAATGTGTGATGCGCTTTGTGGACCAGAATACACATGGAAGAAGGTAGTCAATAACTTGCATATGTTGCAAGCGGAAGTCAGTAGATAAGATGTGCACCTTTTTGTGAATAAACTGTGTCTATTCTTAATAAGCTACTATTTCATTCAGTCATAATATCTGGCTTCATTAAAGAACCAAATTAGCAAAGTGATTTCTATGTCACGTGTAGCTAACGATTGCCATTCAGTTAGTTAAACTAAGGAGTCTTAAGCTATGGATTCAAACACGTAATGCAATCCTTAAAGATAGAGAGAGATCTTTGACCGCTAATCTACTGCTTCACTTCACACAACTAGATGTGAAATATTGTTCGTAGTAAGTTGAATTAGTGTCAATATGCATGCTTAAAAATGATAACACTGTGAAAACATTTTCCTAATGTTTGATGCATTCACTCGGCTTAAAAAAAAACTGATATTTCAGCATCGATGTCACGTGTGTTATGTCCCATTCTCATACTGATATACCAGCTACTTATATATTCAATCCCAACCAATCACTTGAGTGAGGAGGTAGCTTTACGGACTAAACCGAATCAACAGATATCTCCAAATTTATTTGCATATATTTCTCCTCTAGAAATTTAAGCCACATGTTCAAACAGAGGTGTCGGTCTCATGTCTTAGAAAAGAAAGTTAAAACATGGTCAACAGCGTGAGCATAATATTTCAGTCAGTTAGTCAGCTTGTTATTTCTGTATCAATTGACCAGCTGTTTCGTCCTAATTAGGAAATTTTGAAAGTGTGCACCTATGTGTTATAATTCTCTCTTAGTAAACACACCTATTCCTACTGCTTAGTATTCTCAAGCAACATCGACTCGACTAGTCCCTAAATCAGAACACGGTTGAACAGGCAAGAGATTCTATTCCAAATAACAAGGTTAAATGGAATTGAGAAGCCGAAGCGAAGGCGAAATAGGAACAACGTCAGTATCTTTATAGTTTTCACATGAGAAGCTTCTGGAATGCAATCCACGTGATCGACTAGCGCTAATGCCTTAATCCATCTATGTTCCGCTAACACTCTGACTTTGCCAGGATTAAAATGTACAACCTTCAGATCTTGGATAGCATACATAAGTCACCGGAGCATCTCTTATCGAAACATCGAAAATTGATCTCAAATCCAACCAGGCAATTATGATGAAAACTGTCACCAAATTGAATCGATCGCAACAATTACCCTTAATTTTGACTAAGTCAAAAAGACTGATTTTTATGTTGATCATTTAGAAACAATTCAATAATTGTATTCCTTTTTTTACACATTTTTGAAATCATCAATCAATCATTGTTAGACCACCATTAGAAACCTGGAACCACTGGACGGCCGTTTCGTCCTGGTATGGGACTCCTCAGCACTGCGCCTCCACGAATCCTGCACCCAGCAGGATTCGAACCCAGTGCTTCCAGGTTTCTAATGGTGGTCTAACATTGATCGATTCATGGTTTCAAAAATCTGTAACTTAACAATCTTCACAACCTCGTAATTTCTTTTTTTGTTTCTTCATTCACCACACACAGAGGCTAATACAGAACACATAAAATAACTAACTTACTTCAGGTGGTGTATAGCCTAAATCCAATGCTTCCATTGGTGGAAATAATTCATCACGTAAACGATAAATTAAACAATGTAAAAATTCCAGCATAAAACAACTTAACAATTTCGCTGCATCCATTTGACTTGTAGATGGATGATAGAATGATTCAACCGACTAGACATGTTGTTTCATAGGAAGAAAACAACAACAAAAAAAACAACAGCATAAACACATGAATAATAAAATTTTCAAATTGACAAAATCATCATCAATAAACGATAATCACAATTTAATGTGACTTATTGATCGATTAAAAAGTTAATGTGTAATCGATTTCAAGTCGCACTATTTTGATTGAGTGGAGAAAAAAACCAAAACAGTTAATGAGACACTTTACCCAGGCTATCAAAGTTGAATGAAGTGAAGCGCGTTACAAATTTCTAACCGATCAGTTCAAAGTTCAATGTTTTAATCACTAATTCATGTTGATCATATTTAGTTTGATAAATGATTAAGACTAATCTTACTGAAGATTTGTTTGATAATTATCATTCCGGATAACTTTCAAATATACCGCTTCACTTATCTTGGAAGTCTCATCAGTGCCGATGGCCTGGTGACTGACGAAATCTCAGCTCGGATACAGAAGGCTCGATTGGCTTTTGCCAACCTGCCTCACTTATGGCGTAGGCGAGATATCCGTTTGCTGACTAAAGGACGAGTGCATTGCGCAGTAGTTCGCTCCGCCTTACTTTATGGCTGTGAAACATGGTCAGTGAGAGTAGAAGATATTCGTCGGTTATTGGTTTTCGATCATAGGTGTCTTCGAAGCATTGCTCGTATATCCTGGGACACCCGAGTGAGCAACGCTGTTATTAGGAAACGGGTGCTAGGTAAGAGTGGCAGATCAATAGATGAAGTATTGAAACTTCATCAGTTGAGGTGGTTGTGACATGTGTTACTTATGCCTAACCACCGATTGCCTCGACGAGCTTTGTTTTGTAGTGTAGGAATAGGTTGGAAGAAAGCTAGGGGCGGCCAAACCAAAACATGTCAGAAATGCATGAAGTCATTGACAAGTGGACTAAGTTATGTCGGTAGTTATCGACTACCTGGTTGGTGTCCGCGAGATGATAATAATCGATGGTTAGAGACCTTGATTGACGTGGCTCAAAACCGTTTGCAATAGCGCCGGTGCATTTATTCTTTGTGTTCTCTCAAGTCCTAATCTTCTGGATTCTTCAACACCTCTAGTTTTGTCTTTCTAAACTTTTCTCACTGAATCATACTTCTTGGATGATATCTTCTAATCCTAACCTCTCCGATTACTTCTAATACCTTTACTACCTCTACTACTATTGGATTTGAATTGACAATTATATCTCTGTGCTGATAAGGTATGGCGACATGAACTGATGCACTTACGTACAAAGTTCTACGTAGCATCTGACTGAATGAATGATTAATTCTGCAAATTCGTTCTGAATTCGCATAGTGAACTAGGTAAGAAAAATGTCATAAATGAGTTAAAGAAACATCTTTGCGCTACGGGGTTGTGAAGATTGTTAAGTAACACATTTTGAAACCATGAATGAATCAATGTTAGACCACCATTAGAAACCTGGAAGCACTGCGTGGCCGCTTCGTCTTGGTATGAGACTCATCAGCAGTGAGCAACCGCGACTCCTGTGCACTGCTGATGAGTCCCATAACAGGAAGAAACGGCCATCCAGTGCTTTCAGGTTTCTAATGGTGGTCTAACATTGATAGATTCATGGTTTCAAAGAAACATCTGTAATGATTATCAATATATTGTGGATAATAAATACATCAATCGGTCAGTGTCACTGAAAACCGTCAAATCTAGACAATGTTAAAAGAAGCTAAAATCCACAAATATAATTGGTGAATAAGGAAGAAACTTCAACTGCATCATCGTAACACAAGTAAATGTTTATGTTGATAGTATTCAACCAATTTTTTTTCGAGTAGTTTTTAGTTCGATTGTTCAGTCAGTCAGTCAGATGCAACGTAGAACTTCGTACGTAAGTACATCAGTTCATGTCGCCATACCACATCAGCACAGAGAAGTAATTCTCAATTCAGATCCAATAGTATTAGAGGTAGTAAGGGAATTAGAAGTAATCGGAAAGGTTAGGATGAGAAGATATTTTTCAAGAAGTATGATTCAGTGAAATAAGTTTAGAAAGTCAAAACTAGGTAGGTTGAAGAATCCAGAAGATTAGGATTTGAGAGAACACAAAGAATAAATGCACCGGCAACATTGTGAACGATTTTGAGCCATGTCATTCAAGGTCTCTAACCATCGATTATTATCATCTCGCGGACCCCAACCAGGAAGTCGACAATTACCGACATGGCTCAGTCCACTAGTCAATGACTTCATGGATTTGTGCCATGTTTTGGTTTGGCCGCCCCTAACTTTCTTCCAACCTATTCCCACACCACAAAACAAAGCTCGTCGAGGCAGTCGGTGGTTAGGCATACGCAACACGTGTCCCAACCACCTCAACTGATGAAGTTTCAATGCTTCATCTATCGATCTGCCATCCTTATCTAGTACTCGTTTCCTAATAACAGCATTGCTCACTCGGTTGTCCCACGATATACGAGCAATGCTTCGAAGACACCGATGATCGAAAACCAGTAACCTACGAATAACTTCTACTCTCACTGACCATGTTTCACAGCCATATAGGAGAACGGAGCGAACTGCTGCACAGTACACTCGTCCTTTGATTAGAGAACGAATATCACGCCTACGCCATAAGTGACGCAGGTTGGCAGAAGCTTTTTTTTTCGATTGTTCAAAAAACAACTATATATACAGAAAATAATGACACATTAACGACAACGTGGTAAAAAATATTATTAATTTTCCACCATCCTACACACATTGTTTGTTGACTATTTGTTTCGTTCGGAATAGAACATAACAAACCATTACACAATTTAAAAAAACAAACGATAAAGATGAAATAATTGATATTGCATACAAACTTTTAATAATTGCTCCAATCGATACAATGTTGACGATGGACAATCGGAACGATCAGGACCAATGGTATTCATCATTAATTCAGCATAATATTCTATATCTTCCGTTTTCAATGATTCCCCATGTACCGGTTTATGGCTTAATGTGATAGCTCTTGAAAGACCAGTAAATATACGTTCCATATGCGGTTCCCAATCGATTCGACCTCGGCCAATACGAGAAACATAACATAATATTCGAATAATTTCCTTTGTTATTTATAGGGGAAAAACAATACAAGTATACTATTGGTTGATACTTCAAATTAAAATATATATGTTACTCATGAAAAGTGTAATTCTTCTGAAAATGTTTTTTTTTTGAATGAGACAATTAAATTGTCGGCATATAAGTTCATTTGCAAAAAAAGCCTGAATGCATTCACCACCACCTTACATCAATCTACACAATTTTTGGCACCGACAAAATAGTAGTTTGCTAATCAAAGGTTGAGGTTACAATGTTGAGATACTTAAATTTCTCTCATAAACTATTATCATTCAATTAAAAAGTAACATACTACAAAAACTAACATGTAAAATATTCTCATATCTCCCGACCGTAGCTGCTACCTTGACGTGGTAGTTGGGTTTGCCTATCGTCATGACCCAACCGAGCTATATTGGATAGAACATATGTTCCTGAAGGTTCTACCATGCCAGACAGGCCGATTGGAGATCAATGAGACTAAAAGCAGCTACTCAAGGTCTGAGGGCGAAGTCGTACTGCTGACTGCAGAGGGGTGTGACAGCAGTAAGTTGTTTCCCTCGGACAACCAGCATCTGCAGCGATGCTGCCTTCTCATAAGGAAGGAAGGGTTAGAAATGGTCGACCCTAAAATGTCACATCTCACTTTACCTCACAGATTTCCGTCTCCGGCGGTAAGGGCTGCCCACTAAGGACTTTTAAGAGCGAAGCTAATACTAAAGAAACTTCTCATAAAAAAGCCGTGCGTGACCGGCCTCAAGCAGTTGTCCCCTGGGCTCTGCGATCACGCACCCAGGTCTTCAAGACCAACACTAATCTACCTTCCTTTTCAGGTCCATCAAGAAACAACCTTCCGCGGTGTGGGCAGCCGGGAAATGACAACCGCCCTCATACCCGTATCTGTCTTCTCATATCTGTTATCATTTCGTTAATGCTAAGATTGAACGAAAAAAAAACAATAAAAGTAGTCAATCTCTCATAAAATAAAGGAATCATGGAATAGAACACGGTATAAGGTTGGCACTATTTGACCTTCTAAAAAAAAAGAAGAGATTTAAAGATTTCACAATTTTATGACTCTGTCAATGAATAATTGTTAGTGATATTATGTAATTCATTCAAAGACTAGTAAGTGAAATAACAATCGAATCCTTCGTTGAACAGTGAACATTGAACTATTTAAATTACTGTACTATATACATGTAAGGCGGAATTTCAAAGAATAAGTTGTATTTTACTTACACGAAAATTTCCGAATTCAGGATGCATATACCATAAATCAAATATATCAGTTAACCAAACACGACTACAAATAAGGAAAGAGATAGAATAAAAAACAAAACAAAAACAAAATCAATAAGAAACAAATATTGAAAGCTTCATCATCATCATCATCATCATCTTCATTATTGTTATCACAGTTGAATCAGTTTACATTCATTACAAGTGAACAGACTTAGAATGAATGAACTTGGCAAGCATTTTCTACTAAATAAAATTCAAAGCCCCACCCAGCGCCTTGGAATTTTAATCAGAAAAGATTTTAGGATACAAGCATGCATATTATCGATAACCCAAAACATATAGCACAATTAGAATAAATTAAAACATTGTTTTAAGTTTATTGAGTTAATAAGGAGATTTGCAACCATATAGTAGGATGGGGCGAACATCTGCGCATCACACTCGCCCTTCGGTTGGGAAACGGATATTTCGTTTAGAGAGGGGTTTTAGGAGACCAGGAATAACGTTTCGTGAACTCATACCGTTTGCTTCAGCGGCGCGAGGTGATAAACGATCGAAAGAAGAGTTGATCGAGGAGATAAGAGTTTTTATGTGTAGAAAGGATGTGATTCTGACCGAATTTGTCTCGTGTACTTTAATGGGTATGAAGGAGGATGTTACTTCCGGCTGCCGACACCGTGAAAGGACTCTAGCTGGTCAGAAGGGGCATCAGCCTCGTGACTTTCGGAGGAGCTCGACTTTCATCATAAGACGTCATAACTCTTCTAAATGAAGAGCTTCTAACTCCCAGAGCAGAGTTTGAATGGTTTGAATTATTTTTTAATATTTTTTACACTAAAAGCCGATAGAGATGCTAGAAGGTATGCATCACATCAAAAGCAACGCTTGAAACCAAAGAGAGGTTCAACCTCGCTGTTTATCTACCTGTAATATCAGTGTTATCTCAATTGATCGAACAGCTATTACTGTTACATATTAATCATTAACTAGTCAATAATTTCACTTTCGCTAGCACTGAACAACAACTAGACGTCCAACCGCATGATACATCGTCGTTTGTATCAATGCATGTGAACAATTGTAGGCATATATTCGACTGGGAAAATGTTGAAATCTTGGATAGAAGGACTTTTAAGAATACTATAGAGAATTTTCATAAGCTTAGTACTCAGGTCAGTCAGTAATCAATAAACTAAGCCGAAAAACTATGGACAAAAACAGAAATAAGAATTTGATTAACGGGAAAGAACCAAATCAAAAGTGTAGACAATGACACGTTAAAAGTCATACTTCTGCAATGAACTAAATCGAATTCTAAGACGTGAAAATATGAGTAGCAGTAAAATTGACTAAATGAATATGTTAGGATATTCATCCAATATCCTAAGAGAATTATTGGTCAATTCCTATTGGTTAATTCCTACTGGTCAATTTTATGGTTGTCCTAGATATCAATGTCACGTACTCCAATGTTGTTTCTTATTGGTCGTCCTGACCATCAATGTCACTTCAAATGTTGCTTCCTATTGGTCGTCTTAACTGTCAATGTCACAGACTTCGACGCTGTTTCATATTCAACCAAAATGTATAAATACGCATTATCTGTAACGTTTTATGACCAGGACCCGGTCCCAGATCCCTAGTCCGGGATCCTGATTCTCTTCTGGACTCAGACCTCGTACTTTCTGCGTGCTTGTAGAATACAGGTTCTACTTCATATCAAGTCTTCTTATTTTTATTCAATCTGGAGGTTGGGATAATCGGATTTGAGTAGCATGTCATGTGACCGGATCCTCCACCCTCACTCTCGTATTCCGACTAAGGTATACTCGTAATAGTTCAAGTAAATCAAGTTGACGTGTTTACATGCAGGCGTAACAGAATAAAATTCGAGTAGTAACTTATGTTCTCTAAAGCTGGTGTCTTTCTGTATGACTAGTCAATATTTCTAACTAACATAAAATTACTGACCAAAGGTCATTAAGAAATATTAGCGTTTGATAGACAGATAGTTAATAATAACACCAACACCACCAAGAGTGTATTCCACAGATTGATATTCCTTTACAATTGGTCTTTAGCATTTGCATAAAGACATTAACCAAAATTGAACAAAGAGATAGATGAACTAACAAATTACAATAAAGTTCAAGAATCAATTGTCTATACTATCTATTATACTCACCTAATCTCATCAAAATATTTTGGATAAAATGGTGTATACACTAAGAAATGATTCAAATAATTGTTCGGTGCACCAGTCAATAGATCACTACAAATATGATGACGAAATTCTAACCAAACTTCTTCAATTGAACTTTTTGGAAAGAACCTATGAAAAACAGAAGAGATCAGGTTATTGAATAGTAGTAATAATAATAATAATAATAATAATAGTAAAGATAGACAGTCAGTTAGTCATAGTCAATCTCAACGACCCGGCATGAAAATGAATCCATCCAAATTATTCTATCCTAACAACGTGTTTGACATAGTGAGGCCTCAAGAAACCAACGATCCATCGGATAAAACTCATGTGCTAAGAAGCAAAGGCAATCAATGCATCAAGATAGTTTTGTTGTGTCCATTAACTCTGTTGTTGTATTCTTAGCAGAATCAATAGACAATGCAAACTCTGAGTTCCACCCCCACCCCCAACGTTTAATCAAATTAGCATGACAGTTTCAGTGATCATAAATGCCTGGTGGGTTTAACCTAATAATTTAATCGGTTAAATAAGTATAGCACTGGATAACATAACATATTATAATTAATAATAGATACTTAAGTATGATATTTTCTATGCGAAGTTGAGTAACAAATTGATGACTGACTATAATAATTAATAAACAACAAAGCTAAAAATAATAATGAAAATGAAATACAATACGTCATCACACACACATAATTTGCAAAAATACAAATTGTTAGTCGGAAGACAGGTGTGTGTACTAATGATAAGTAAGAAAAATATAAAATACAATAACAAAAGTTTTATAAATAGTAGGTCAAACGTGGATGAATAGACTTAAAATAATCATTACCATGACGTAATAATGTGCATTTTATTTTTCTTACTACTACCAGTACACATCTGTCTGCTGACTATCAACTTGTACTTTTACTTACATGATGTGTAATGACGTAATCTCTGTTTCATTTCATTGTGAGTATTGACTCATAAATTGCCTTGATCGATTTAAATTTTTTAATATAAAAATATTTATGTATATATTAGAGAGTAAAGCCTGATGACAATCTAGCCGAAAACTAATAATAGTCAAAGGATAGTAGAGCTTGAAAAAAAGTACTACATATGAACGGCGAACAAGTAGTTATCCTCCTAATTGATTTATATTGGTTGTTTAAAGTTTTCCATTGATGTTTACAACTGCAACTGATCTGTCTTTTTTTACTTAACGGAAATATTGAAGCAACTAGCACAGAATATGTATACGCCGAAAAGAGATTGATCAGTCTCAGTTTTAAAAATCAATGGCAATATGAAACAACCAATACAAACAAATGAATTAGGCTTCACTCCAGTGAACATGCCCGTAGTTATCTGTACTCAGTAGTTAAGTGGATAACGCAATGACGTATGAAGAGAATGGTACAGGGTTTGAGTCCTGGAGAGAAGCTCAACTCCACGATGCAGATAGATCCAACTAACGTGTACCAAGTCCTCGATTCCGCCACTAGCCACTAACCATACCTGCTAATAAAAGCAGACATCCACATTTCAAAATTTACGTATATCAGTTTAAGTTCACAAACTACATCAGCACTCAGATAGAATTTTTAATTCAAATCCCATAGTAATAGGGATAGTAGACGTATGAGCAGTTCTGATGGAGATTAAGTTTCGTAGATATTATTCAGGAAGTATAAATCAGTGAATGAAATTAGGAAAGATAGAAGTGACGCGGAATTCAAAAGATTAGAATTTGAGAGAAGACAAAGTGTGGATGCACCTGCGCAATTACAAACGCCTTCGTAATCCAGTCGATCACCAGAAGAAAGAGAAAGGGTAAGAGTAAGCAACCTTGCTTGATACTGATCTTCACTTAGAACGAGTCTGTCTGTCATTCGAATACGATTTTTTAGTTCAATCCGTCACAATAATACACACGTGAAGAAGGACGGAGCGAAACGCTGCGTATTAAACCCGTCCTTTGGTTAACAGACGGGTATCTCTCCTACGACATAAGTGACGCAAGATGGGAGAGCCAGTCAAACCTTTTGCATCCGTGCCGAGATTTCGTCACATATCACGCCATCTGGATTGATGAAACTCTGAAGACAAATGAAATGGTCAACATGCTCGAATACTTCACTAACTATGATTAGTTAAAGGGCCGACGGAACCCAACCCTAAAGCAATATTTTGCATTTCGACGGGGGAGAATCACATTTCGAACATGCTTGCACTGTTGCTTAAGATGGTCAAAAGATTACATATTATCAGCATCTTCATCAAACAGAACTGTATCATCTGCATATTCTAAGCTAATGAGTGAATCTCGCGGAAGGCGATTCAACTCCTGAAAAGTCCGACGATGAAAGTGTCGTCTCTAAAAGAATGTCAATGACAAAATTAAATAAGAATAGAGAACGTGAACAGAACTGATGAATATCACTTAAGGTTATCGATTCCGATGACAGTTCGCCATAAGCTCTGACTCGACCAGTAGTGTTTCAATGATGAGCCTGTACAAGGCTAATGTGCTCCTTTGGTACACCTTTCAATGATAGACCCAGCCACAGAACCTCACCATCAACAAAGTCAAATGCTGCCCCTCAAGGTTGAGGAATACAAATACTGTGGGAAGACGAAATGTGTGTCTATGTTCTACGACCTGACGAAGTGCGAATATACAGTCTATAAAGCCAAGTCTATATCGTTTCTCGAGTTTTTTTCGAGTCTGCTCTTCACAAGTTCATATTAGTTAAACTAGTTCCTCTACGATTGTCACAAAAGGACTTTTGTCCCTTCAGTGGTTGAGACCAGTCGGAGGGAATTACGTCCACTGGCCAGATCCTAGCTAAGATCTCAGTATGAACAAAAGGCACAAATACAAACAATTACATAATCACAGAATAAAAGATCAAGAACTAAAAAGAACAACAATAATTATCACGAATCAAACAATGCATAAAGTATCTCACTAATTATATATAGAATATCTACTAAACTACTAATAATAGAAATTGAAAATTCAATAAAGAACTACGAAAGTGTTATGTAACACTTACTTTGAGCATAAAGTAGTGATTTGTTGTAATTTTAAATATTCCATCCTGTTTCATTTCATTGCGAAATAAAGAAAGTGTTGAAAACAAAAAAACAAAACAATATTAATAAGTAAATACATAAATAATCATTTTTTTAAAAATTTACAGAATATAATTAAGCTAAAAATTATTTGGAGAAAAACAAAACAAAACAAGGGCAGACTTTTTTTTTAACAGAATTAAGAAAACAACACTTCTTGCTAGTCCTCTATCTCATACAATAAGTGCCAATTATGCCAAAGCAATTAATGAAAAATATCGTATGAAATTCTCAGTAATTTGAATACTAACACACTTGGATGAGATGTGCATAGGTTATGCAGTTTATGGTGCCATATAAATTTAACCTATTTTGTTGACTAGAATAAGAGAATAGGTGTTGGAACCAGGTCAAATTATGTTTTAAACTTTCACTTCTATTGAGAAAATTCAAATTTCATAGTTGAAATCACAAAGTGATTTTAACTAGACCACCAACACTATGGTGAGTTGATTGGAGTTAGACATTAACACTCAACTCAGTGGCCTAGAGGTTAAATGTTCTTGCGCGAAGCCGATAGTTTCCAGCGCGCGAGGTTGTGGATGCGCATTGTTAATGAGTCTTAAACTAGAACAAAACAGCCGTCCAATGCTTCCAGGTTTCAAACGATGGTCTAGCTAAGACCAGTTCATGACTTTAACTAAAATAATACACAGTCTCCACAAATCCTCTTCATTTAATTTGAAGTGTGATATGCTTTCATCTATTACGAGTTCACCTTACTCGGTAAACACAACGAATATCAAAGATGCAGTGAGCCGATAGGCTATTCTAATCCGATTGTCCCAAGCCCCGTTAACTAGAGAAGGAAGTATTGCTAAGACGTAGAGAATATACTCCACAGGCAACCAGAAAGTACCAGGTCCACAAGCACACAACTCAAGCTTATTTATACAATGATAAAACACCCTTGGTGAGAGCCACAAAATAGCGTACTAAAATAATCCATTAACGAATGACAGTCAAAGATTTCCCGAGCGGGGAATGTAAGCTGAAGGTCAACGAAGCGTCTTTAGCGCGAAAATACAACGATTCAAAATTTCGCACATAAATTACAAAATTAGGACCTTTTCCAAATGAGTTCAGGGAATCTAACGTCCACAGCAAAGTGCTTCTATTAGGAGACGTTCTTTTACGGTTTTAAACATTTTTATGAACAATTTCATTATTGTTGGGATAACTGATACTCTATCAATGACAAAGTGAGAGGATTTAGTATCCTAATACATGTTCGAATATATTGCCTTTTGTGAAAACACTCACATTGGAATATTTATTTTGACTCATCCAAATCAAAGTAATATATCATTGTCTGAATTTGAAGTAAAATCTAATTGTGGGTGATTCATTGTTGAACTTTTTTTTGCCAGATTTAATCAATAACTCCCAAATAAAAATATTTATTTTCTAAGTCACGAGCAAACATACATAGGTCATTAAAATGGTTTATATAATCTAGTGAATTCGACTATGACCTTTAGCCTTTAGTCGTCAATAACAAATTAATATTCAAAAATTCGTATCTACAACTATAGTCCAGAACGATTATCAATAATTTCAAGGATTATTATCATGTTTAAATTGCTTGCTTATATTTACTCCACTGTTTCATCAAACGAACTACTATGTTCACCAAGATACTTGTTTTAACCTTTGTATTGGTCACAAGGTTGTTCCAGCATACTTGAATATATTCTCTACTTTAAAAGACATTCGATCGGTCACAAATAGGCAACAGTTCACTAATAAACTACAATTTGGGAGTTCATTGCAAATCAGCTGATGATAAGTATTCACACTTATCACACTCATCATACATACACCAACACCTTATGATGAGAAACGTGAAATTATTAAGTTTTATATGTGCACATATTTTTTGGTCAAATATTTAAAGATCAACAAAATCAAATGGATATTTGTTACCTTGTAGGTTTTATTTTTGAAATTCACACGTTTAATCATTTATTGATATAAAATGATATTCATGTATGTAACAGTTAAATAGTGATAATCATATCATATCATATGACAATGAAAAGAAGTGATAAACATTCGTCCTAAATGAGAAAACTTTGTACAAAATTTGAAATCATAAACCAATCAATGCTAGACCACTATTATAAACTTGGAAGCACTGGACGGTCATTTTCTCCTAGTATGAAACTCGTCAGAAGTGCGTATCCACGACTGTGCGCGTGGAAATCAAACCCAAGACCTTTGGTCTCTAGATCACTGAGCCAGTATCCGAAGGTGTTAATGTCTAGCTCCAATCAATCTACAATAATGCGTGACCTCATCTATTATCTTCAGGGCTAACTGCTTCGTACCGGACACGGTTGAACTCCGTTGGTCACGACTTCTCATATCACGTATCATTTGTTTATTAAATGACAGAATTTGATAATATTTATTTTTATGTCTACCATTTTTGATGTAAAACTATAATCTTACTAGACAAAAAAAGACTTCTCATACACACACATGGTCATACGAAAAGTCAATGAAGATGTGAAAAGGAAAATAGCAAGTTATCATATTAGTAGATACATGATTTAGCTACCTCATAAAAACTGTCACAAAATGATTCAAAAACTCAACGAATGTTTTGCGTTCAATAATGAAAAAAGTCAAGTTCGTGTACTGTTGACAATTCATTAAACCAGTAGTAGTAATAAGTGAATTTCGAGTGTTCACTTCGGTAGCTGCTTTTAGTCTCATCGTTCTCCAATCGACCTGCCTGGCATGGTAGGACCTGCAGGAACATATGTTCCAGCCAGTATAGCTCGGTTGGGTCATCACGATAGACAAGCCCGACCACCACGTCAAGGTAGCAGCTACGGTCGGGGTTGGTTGGTTCGCCCTAATGAAGTGGTCATAAATTAACTCATTCTGGTAACATTATGGTTACGCGAGTAAATTATTCTCATTATTATTATTATCATCATCAAAACTTACTTGGGCAATTGAATCGAGTGAAAATTTACTTCCCATACATTATCGATCCATTCTCGCATATCCAAGAAATCTCTCCAGTTAACAGACAAAGTTGATGATGGAAGAGAATGTGATTTACTGGATAAAAGACAGATGAAAAAAAATAATAAGTAGTATGATATACACACAATTAGGACCACATATGATGTAGTGTATCTATCATAGAAGAAATGTAGGTCCGAATGTTAAAAAAAAAACAAGGTTACTAAAGAATATGTCGTTATGCATTCTTCAACAACTATAAAACTACAATGCCATTTGGCTAGTGCAAAGCATCTACGTGTATAGTAAACATTAATTGCATACCGTAGAAACATCAAGTAAGTCATTTGATGAGACTGTAAATCTTCATCAAAATCAATGATAAATATATATCTATGACGCATGAGTAACGACTGCCTACCATGACGTAACAATTGTGACCAACTCGGAAGCAAACACAGAGATCAAACCAAGATATTGTATCAATTCTTGAAATCATTTTCACTAATCTAGGGAAGTTTGAGGAAATGCAAACTTTCACACTAGATGGCACAATTGGAAAACTTAGGTGAAAAGGAAAAATAAATCGATCGCAGACATGCATTAGAATAATGTATTGTTTAATCTCATCTAAATCTTAAAAATTTTTTATTCGATTGTGTTTGTTTGTGTGTTTGTTTTCAATGATGTTCCGCTCATTTTCACCCTTTCCTTTGATCTTGCCGATTTCCTATATCGCTAGACTGACGTAACAAACATGTGATAAGTTTAAACAGTTTTACACTGATTGTAGATTCGATGCTGTCTACCAACAGAGTGAACAGTACACTGTAAGCACTGTAAGTTTAAAAAAAAATGGTTAATCATTTACATCAATGATGAAATAAAATTATGAAAATAGTTGATACATTAAGCGTGTGACTAGATGCACATATAAATATATATATATATACTCATACCTTATCAACTTGTTTAAAAGCTCTAACGCATTGAATACAACAGGCATATCAATATTTGGACAACATATATAAGCTACAGTGAGACGAATTAAAGCAATGCGTTGTGTTTTAGATAAACGCATTCCAAATATATTGATAAATCTAGAGGAAAAGAGAAAAAGGAGAGAAAGAGAGAGAAATTTTTTTTAATTAATTGCACAATATATACAACAATAAGATGAATTGGTTAACATAAGACAATGGATATATGAAATTAAAGTTTGATTGGTTCTTTAGTAACTTTTCCTAATTTTATCATTTGTTAGTTAGCTGGTCTCACTTTTACTAGATTCGTCCTACTGTACGGATGCGACACATGGCCGGTCAGAGAAGGGGACAATCGTAGGTTACTAGCCTTCGATCATAGGTGTATCCCAAGCATTGCTCGTGTATAATGGGACGACCGAGTAAGCAATGCTGTCGTTAGGAAACGAATTCTAGGTAAGGATTGCAAATCAATAGATAAGGCATTGAAACTTCATCAGTTGAGGTGGTTGGGACATGTGTTACGTATGCCTAACCACTGACTGCCTCGACGAGCTATGTTTTGTGGTGTAGGAGCAAGTTGGAGGAAATTTAGGGGCCGCCAAACCAAAACATGACACAAATCCATGAAGTCACTGACAAGTGGACTGAGTCATGTTGGTAGATGTAGGCTACCTGGTTGAAGCCCGCGAGACGATAGTAACCGATGGTTAGAGACGTTGAATGACATGGCTCAGAAGCGGTTGCAATGGCCGCAGGTGCATCCACTCTTTGTGTTCTCTCAAATTCTAACCTGATTTCCTCATCATCTCTGTTTTTCTCCTTCTAAATTTATCTCACTGAATTATACTTTTTGAATCATATCTTCGCTCCCTAATCTTCTCTATCGCTGCTAATAATTCTACTAACGCTATCATTCTTGGATTTGAACTGACAGTTACGTCTCTGTGCTGATGTGGTATAGCAACCTGAACTGATGTACTTATGTACGAAGTTCTGCGTTGTATCTGTCTGTCCGTCTGTCTGTAATATTGATCATTGTGGAAATTTGATTTTGAAGAGCATTGCTCTACTTACTCTATAATGTATGAGTCGTTCAAAATGATATAAAACAATTTAGTTCTAATTTACAATTTAACTTACTGTGGCTTACTTGCTAACTAAGTAAAGATTTATGTGTTCAGTATTAAATGACACCTGAGATGTATGGGGGGGGATATAAATACTACTCGAATGGCTAAACTGAAGTAGGTGGATAAAAGTTCGAACATGAGGCTTATTGATCGAAAAACCAAGTGATCCAGTTTCTCAGCTACTACTGCCTCATACAAAATCAACTGTCTAAATAATTACTGTTGTAAAGAAATTAATTAATTAAGAGCTGACCATTACATGATAGGGATTTGAATTATTCCTCAGTAAATTCAACTACTTTTAATTATCTCATTAAAAAGATAGATCTATTTAATAATAACACTTAAACATTTTATACGTATGAATATGCAAATCGGTTATGAAGGACTAAAGTATATACGCTTCCCTGAGAAAAAAATTTTTTAAATGTATATTGTGTAAATTAAGGATCCGGTCAATAAAATAACCATTAAAAGTATCAAAAATATCATTAATAAACTAACCTTTGAATAGTAGTAAATACTGAATTAATTTCACACATGATATCACCAGATGATAAAACATCACATAACCATTTGGTAATGATGTTCCATTCACCTTGTATAACTTTATTCAAATTATTCGGATGAATAGGAAATAGACGATCACTGCGTCTATGCATAAACTTTGATTGATTAAATTTCATTTTTTTTAAAAAATAGAAATAAGTAGTCAAGTATTTTCTTTCTTCATAAAATATGATTTGTTCTAAAATTGAGGGGAAAATAAAAGCAAAGATAACCTGTGATGAACTTAGTCAAACAAGTTTGTTTACTTGAGGAAACTGTTAATAAAATAGGAGGCATACGATTGTACACCCAGGAATTCTGTTCTACCATTAACACTGTTACTGCCTATTCTACTCTAGGATTTGACAACATAGATTGAAGAATACACGTACCAAGTTTTACGTCGTAATCGACTGACTGTTTTACAGATAATCACGAGCTCTAGTACAAACGTAGACACAAGTGGACTTAATACTTCGTTAGAAATAACTAACATCCTCTATGGATTGTACGCTTGAAATTTCAGTCTACAATCCAACCTCGATAAAGGCCCACTAATTTACTAAAATGAAAATTAAAACGTAAAAATCTCTTATTGAAAGAAAAACTAATCTAACAATTTTCCCACTACAACGAAAGTAGTGTCTATAATCCATTAATTATCAATAAAAGCTGAATTATTAATGAAGCATTTTTATACGTATTAACGTCTTAAACAGGATAATCAGAAAGCGAAGTACTAAAGGTTGTACTAAACTATAATAGACTATTTGCAAGGGTTTATATTTCTCGGTTGTTGATATTTAACACAGCATTTGATCAGCCTCTGTGGGGATTAGAGCATTCTATTAAGGAGTCATCAAGTATAAGTATATGCACCTGCATCCCAGCGATAGATGCTGGGCTTTAGTCCCAGTGTGATGCATGGACCTCTTCTAGTTGTTGTGTCTTAAAATAGAACGAAACATGCACCGGAACTCAGAATTGTACCATTACAAAGTTTCCCCCCAGCTAACACAATATTTGAAATTAAACATGACACTGTATGGTACTTTATCGTATAATTAATTCAGTTAAGAAAAAAAGTAGTGCAATATAGAGAAAGGTATGTAATAGAGAGAGAAAAAAACAACGGATACAAAGTAAATAATTATTTATTTATTACTAAATAAGCAATAGTGCAATTACATCGAAAAAAATCATGAGCAAATTAAGAGATACAAGGATATAATAACAATAAAAAACAAATAAATGTCAAACAAAAAAAAGTAAAGAAAAATAAACTGTAGATAAAAAAAAGGAGAAAACTCTTAGATATAAGAGAAAACAATCAAATATTTACTGCCTTTTATCTTCATGATATGGACTTGTTTTGATAGATGTTAAATGGCTATCAACAACTGATACAGAAATCAACAGTTGACCAGCATAATATGTTGGTAAGATTAAATTACATTGAAATGGTGCTACATTCTTTGAGAATAAACATACGGCTAATATAGCATCGGATAGACAAAATAGTACTCCACCAATGGCAGAAGCCATACATGTCCATGGTATGGAATATTCGTGTTTAGTTAATTGGGCTAGTGCACGCCATACCATCATTACTAATATGAATCCATAAGTTGGAATAACAACTGCATTGATACCGTTTAGTGCGTCTTTTACACAAACAAATACAAACAGAAGTATTGGTAGTAAAATGAACAATATAGATAGTTTTAAACGTTGAAAACCAAATGCGCAAATATATAATATATGCGTGATGGCAAACATAGCCATGCCAGGAATAAGAAGGCTAGGCCATACTAAAAATGCATCACCCAGACAAGAGAATAAAAGACCAAAGAGAATTTTTAAAGAGTAAGTATAATTATTTGGTATTTTAACGCCATACATATAAACAAAGCCAATAAGTGACAAAATAGGCGCGCATTTAAAAATACAATAACCCATAGTTGACTCATGTTTTGGATACAGAACATAGAACAAGGCAAATGTTTTGAAGAATAAAACTAAACGTGGTCCCAAACATTTTACCTGAAAAAATTAATAGAAGGATTGAGTGAGAGCAATACTGAAGTTTTGAGAAATCAATAAAAACTAAAACGAAATCTAACATGATTTGAAACAATTAATAATTTAAAACAATTCATCAACGTTTAGGGATACGATGTTAAGACTATTACAGGTTACGACAGAGAGATACAACACAGAACTTCGTACGTACGTAAATCACTTCAGGTTGCCATATCACATTGGCACAGAGACGCTACTGTCAGCTCAAATTCAATAGTGGTAGCGATAGTAGAACTATTAGCAGTAATGTAGGAGATTAGGGTGTCGTTCAGTGAGATAAAGTTAGAAAGAGAAAGATAGAGATTATGAGGAATTCAGGTTAAAATTTGAGAGAACACAAAGAGTGGATGCATCTGCGCCATTGTCAACGATTCTGAGCCATGTCGTTCAAGGTCTCTAACCATTGGTGACTTTCGGCTCGCGGACCCCAACCACGTAGCCTACATCTACCAACATGACTCAGTCCACTAGTCAGTGACTTCATGGATTTCTGCCATGTTTTGATCTGACCGCCCCTAGCTTTCTTCCAACCTATTCCTACACCACAAAATATAGCTTGTCGATGCAGTCGGTCGTAAGGCATTCGTAACACATGTCCCAACCACCTCAACTGATGAAGTTTCACAACTTCATCTACTGATTTGCCATCCCTACCTAGCACTCGATTCCTAACGACAGCGTTGCTTATACGGTTGTCCCAGGATATACGAGCAATGCTTCGGAGACACTTATGATCGAAGACAAGCAATCTACGAATGTCCTCTACTCTCGCCAGCCCTGTTTCGCACCCGTATAGTAGGACTGAGCGAACTGCTGATTACAGGTTACGATTTATCCATGATAATACTAAACAAGCAAATATTTAGTAAATTTACTGGGTTAATATGCAAAGATACGATACATACTCTCACATATAGAATCACAAGGGTATATAGGAAAATAACTCTAAACTTTCGATTTCAGTATGTGTCGAACAAGATGGTCAGGGTACACGTTTTACATGCAGAAAGCTCATCTAATTTGACACGTGACATTGTTTGAAATAAAGCTATAGATAACGAGTGCAAAGAGAACCAGCAAATGGATTTGTACCAAGTCTTCATTAGGGGATTGAAGTAATCGGTTTTAAACTGACAGTTAATAGACCAGAATCTCACACCATGCACTTCCTTTTAGGTCGCTAAGATTTAATGCCGGTGAGATGTTTATCTTTGAAACTAAGAGCGAATATACTGTGTAACGGTCTACTATACAAGATTAATTTGACTCCTTTTCTATTCACCTAGTTAATTTTATCTCGCTGTGATAGTGTGATATGGCAACTTGGACTAATGCATGTGTCAGAATCTACATTGATTAAACGGTTGTTCCATCTATAAAATTAATCTTCTCTGCTGTATACTAGAGACCGTTCCAATTAACTATATTCAACGTGAAAATAAATGCATATGTAGTTCTCCTCACACTACTTTAATAAATCGAGATGAAATTATCAAAACAAATCGCACAGTGGCAGTAGTAACCTTACTAGAAGTAGGAAAAAGGAGTAGAAAAAAGTAGAAAAATGAGTAAGCAGATTTCGGTTTTCAGAAACTAAGGGGTAAATAGTGGATACACTTATGCCACTGCAATAGATTCTTAGCTGTTACCCAGTCTCACAACCTTAGTTGCTGTCTTGACGTGAAGATCGAGCATGCCTATGGTGATGAACCAACCGAGCTCTACATTGTTCTTACCATGCCAATCAAGCTGATTGGAGAACAGTATGAATAAAAGCAGCAACCTAAGGTCTGAGGGCGAAATTGTACTGCTGACTAAGCAAGTGTGACAGCAGTAAAGTATTACCCTCGAACCAACCAGCATCTGCAGCGATGCTGCCTCCCCACAACGGAAGTAAGGGGTTAGAAAAGGTCGACCCTAGGAATTTTACATCTCACCTTACCCTACGGAGTTAAGTCGTCGTTGGTAAGGCCACTTGAAGTGCACAGCTAACACTTTAAAAACTGATAAAAAAGCCGATGACAGGCCTGAAGCAGTTTTCCCTTGGGCTCTGCGGTCACGCTTCCAGGTCGCTAAGACCAAGGCAGCCAGGAAGTGACATCCACCCTCATAAGCGCAACAGCACACCATACCAAACCGGTCACAATCAAATCCTTTCTACACCCCATAACATATCTCTTATCTCCACGACTAACCATTCTCATATTCCTTTACCACCTCGCACCACTAATGCAAACGATTCAAGTTCACGAAACGTCATTCCTGGCATTCTGAAACCCCGTTCTCAACTACATATTGGGGCTTTTAATTTCCAGACATTGTGTCAAATAGGCCAAGCTTCCCTAGGTAGGATTCTGGAATCTCGTGCCATCGACCCATGCTGCGTCTCTGAAACGCGCATACAGGACTCGAGCTAGGAAATCATGACAAGCAAGCCCGAAGACTACGTCAAGGTAGTAGCAGTGGGTAAATCTACAAATAAATAAAATATTTACTTTACTACTAAAAGCTGGCAGACTGAAATCGAGGAGTCAAGATGAAGGAAATATTAATAAGTCTTAAAGTGAATGTACACCATCATTACACAATAAAATAAGACAAATAAGCAAATATAAGCGTTAATGATGTCCACTGCTGGAGTAGGGGAAACATTACAGAATGACTCAGACGTTCGTAATAAAAATAAAAGTATGCTGGGTCGGAAATCTTAAGTAGCTTACGATAAGATCAAAACAGTTGCTTTATATCAATTAATATCTGTCACGAGTAAATTATAAGCTATTCAGAACCACCATTGTTGCAATTAAGGGATCTTGGGTAGTTATAGCGATCTTAAGTGCCTGGATCCAGAGTTTTATCTTTCGTTAAGTATCCGGACTTGATAATATTGCAAGACATTTCATTGAAATTCATTCAGGCGAACCGATGAAGTGACTTAAAGAAAACTTTACCAATTTCAGAGGTCTTATGATAAATTTTAGGGAAAGTTCGAAAAAAAGAGACTATAATCCCTAGTCTGCTTTTTCATATCAGAATTCCAATAAGCTTCAGGAAAATCCCTTCACAAAGACAATCCGAAAGTTTCTTATAAAGCCTCAAAACCTCCCTGACTGTGTATGCAAACAACAGTTTCAATTTAAACAGTAGCAACAGCTTCCTAACAACAGGAATAATTCTCCAAGATGTTTATGGAGAGTTTAATTCATTGCAAAGTGAAGCACATCTGAAGCCCCCATCTATCTGTCTTCTAATAAATAATTCTATTCTGATGCACAAAAGACACTTACAACAGTTACTCGACTGATTGGTTCGCATGGCAACATCGAAATGCGCACGAAATGCAAAGCCACCTTCAAGGCTCTTTATCCAGCAAGCCAACATTTGGTTCATTAAAACTATTTGATGCGAGATTTCACGACTTTACCACTAATGACTGGACGAAATAGCGGTTATCAGTGCCCGCAGGTGCGAAAAAATCACACGGAATTTAACTAATGGAAGTTTTTTTAGCTAAAACATATCCGAGTAGGCATCTGTTCCATAAATGACGACCATATGGGAGTGCGAAAGTTTATTCTAGTTCTTACTCTTGGTCAGAAACTATTCCGATCATGGAACTAAAATAATGTATATATATACATAAAAGTTGAGTAGAGATATTTTAGGCGTAGTATTGTTATCTTAAGGTCCTAATTAGAGCCCTGCCTTTTTTATTCCGTTTGGTTTTTGCTGTTAAATTAGGCTTATCCAATCACCAGTGTCCTTTCCTCACTTCCTCTTCCATTAACAGCTGTTTTATTCTGAGTTAGAACAAATTACTGTTGATGCTGCTTGAGCGACAAGTCTGCAGTATCTTGCCATCGTATAGAGAGCTCTGGCTTTGATACAGAATTGGAGTGCTTTAGACCTGCAGATGTCCTGCAACTATGAGAATGCTTCACTTGTTCATCTTCTTCGCCCGTAAATGTTGAGGATTACTGATTTGGAATCAACTGTTATGTCGAGTGGTTTAACCGGCATCTAGTATTATGCGTGAGTTCGGAACACCAGGCTACTCACGAAGTCCGAATCACTTAGCTGAATTTAAGCTGCACCCTGCATCCCGTAATTCTTTCAAAATGTGGAGGCCATCATAATTCAGTCAACTAACAAAGGAAGGAGGAAGGAACACAGTAAGCAACCTTGTCTGAAACCGCTCTTTAGTTGGAATTCATCTGTGACCTGTTCCCTATTATTCCAATGCGCGGCTCTTTTGTCCACGCTGTCAAATGCCTTCTTATAATCGTGGAAGTTGATGTAAAAGGTGAGTTCTATCAAGGTGATTGTTTACCAGTGATCCTTAGTGTTATGTTTTGGTTGTTTTATGAATGATCCATAAGAAAGCTAGATAGATGGTCACGGATTTCTGGGTGTACTTAAACTTTCATTCGGGTTAGTAACAACATTCTTAAATAATTTGGTTGTTGTTAGTAATAGTATGGCGTCTCTGTAGTTCTCCAGCTTACTAAGAACTCTGTTTTTGGTCTATCACAGTGCGTTCGCTTTGAATACCTGTTGGTATACTCTGTTCAATTCCGAAAACGCAAAACTCAATTTAGAAATAGTTATTACTCTCGCAGTGAGCTCTGAAACCTAAAGGTGTAGGCTTACACGCGTCTCACCCAGTACAAGTCCGAAAATGATAATTCTGGGAAAGAACGGTTCAAAACAATATTGCACCTTCGAGTTTCTAATCGCGACAATAAGTTTCGATACTGGAAAAATAAGTGCTTCCAGTTAGCTGCTGCTAGAGTATCAAATCCCAATATGGCTGTAGCTACATTAAGTATCAGTTTTAAACAACACATATATAGTTCAGAAGGAAACATAGAAACTTCAATATAAGTACAGGATATGGAAATAATTACAAGATACAAATGGTAGAATCCCAAAATTGGATCAAATAAAGGACCAAAATATCAAACAGCAAGAGTCAGTCATATCATAACACAAATATATATACATGGAGGAATTTTCCAAAAACAAGGCCTTTAAAAAAGAGTCTACACCCAAGCCGTATACATAAAGAAGTACATAAGCATTTGTGGGAACGAGAATCTCCAAACTAATAAACTTATTTACCATCAAAATGCATATATTTGGACAGGATTACATGACTTACGAATAATGTCACGTGAATACTGAGTTCCATAGAACATAGTTATTATTGGTAAATAATCCAGACAAATAACCACATTTTTGCCACACATGATGCTCAATAATTAATAATTAGAACCGAAAAATCAGCGTTTTTCGAAAACGGTGCAGATACCCGCATTATATCACGGTCAAATGGAGTTGCTACTGAAGTAGAAGTTAAATCCCTTTGCTATTCTTCAGACTGCCTCGCCAAAATTACTTAAAAAATCAAGGTAGCTAAAGCAGTTTTATAAGATATTTCTCGCAAGTTTGAGACAAAGGTACACAATAATTCATGACTGAGTTAATGAGAGAAACTAACAAATGATTATGTTTAAGTGAATCCCAACTAAGGAAATTTAGGCTAAAAGTGTGTAAAACAACCACTGTTAAACTACTATATTCCTCCTGTGCAAATGTATCGACTCGGATCTCGGTGAAATGAGTACAAAGTTTTTAAAACTATCTGTTGTAGTAAAGCAGACTTGAAAACTGCGTTTGTGAAAAATCCTTGTGGTACATACTGTAGACGATATATGTGCTTTATTAATGAAAAGGATAATTTAATCCCGAACAGCAACATGTTACAAGAGGCATTGCTAGTTTACAAACTATATCAAAAATGTTAAAGTCACTGATATATTTCCTGTGAAGGTATTCAATTAGATAAATATATAACAAGATACACTGACATTTATAAGGAGATAAACTTTTCCACTGAAATTATCAGTTTTTTTAGACTTCAAAATGTACCATACGATAGCCGGCACGAGTCACTTATGCATTGAGCATAAAACACTAGTAAAAACATCCATTTACTAAAAGTCAAGAGATTTAATTAGGGGTCGATTATGAATAGCTAACATCTACCACCTCTCGTCTCTTTCAAAACAAAAACTAGAAAACAGCACTTGGAAAACGAGTTCCTTGATGTGCACCAAACAATGGTTCCCATAACAAAACCTTAGTACAAATATGGTTGATATACAGGGTTAAGTGGGTAAGCTAGGTATACCTGGCTGGAAAACTGTTTGTGCCTACCTAACCTTTTAGGTCACGTGTAGTGGATTCTCCTTGTGACTTGTTGATTCCGTTACTATTTCTTCAGGTAAACGATCCAATATCACATGAGGTGGCTCATTAACTAGTTAAACCGGCCTTTGACCATCAATACTAATCGCATCTCTGTTTCCGTGTTTTTGTACCTCGCCATATCTAGATTTTCTTCTGACTATCTTGAATGGCTATTCAAAGTAGTTCAACGAATGGAGGACTAAATGGAACCTTCCGTTCATCGAGACTTATCTAAATCTGTGAACAATTACATAAATCCTTTGGTATACTTATGGCTCGCTAATGTTCACCAGTATTAGTTATTTCAAGTCTCTACTAGACACCTGGAACTGTACTAAAAGAACAAGAATCGAGCACGAAGAAACCAAATGGTCTATACTAGCTCGCGAAAAAGATATTGGATTGGATATAAGTAATAATAATAATGACTTTTTCTCAAATAAAAAGTTACAAGAGGCATGCCAATTTACAGGCAAGATCAAAATGTTAAAATTGCTGACATACTTTTTGTAAAAGTTGTTCAGTTAGCTGATTATTCCATAAGATACAATGGCTTCAAATAGAAGGCTAAAATTCTACACATAAAAATATATATACTGTTTCAGACTCCGCAGTGTACAGTGCGATAGTTGACTCGAGCTACGACGATTACGTCATGACGAACCACTAATTGCTGAGAACCAACGCAGTATAAATTCAGGATTGCAAGTAAAAAGATTTCATGAGGTAACTATGCAGAGATCTTGTTGATATTCGTCAGGTAATAAATTTACAGGCTTCTGGGTAGAGTAGACAAGTCTTCGGCAAACTTACAGACTAATATTTGAGGATTAGAATACGGTGCTGAAAGGGGCCAGGAGCAGAGCAGGAAATATTCTTGGATAGAACTAAGTTATGAATGCTCGGACCTTTATCATAATAAAACATTAACTATACACTTGAACTTTTGTAAATTAATGAAGACAATCGCTAGTAAGATAACGAATGGGCAATTAGTAGTATGAATAGAGGGAATTCAGAAGAACCAAATTGTTGGAAATAATACTGATTAACAGAATATGATGATGAAACGCAGTGATATAATGCGTTATCGATATTTAGTTATCCTTTTTTTCAAAGCTGTAGCTCAATATGTCACAAGTGCGCTCTTCTACACCTTAATTTTCTAGATCCGTTTGTAATAGGATTTCTTGGCAGCAAGTGAAACCAGTGCCAGGTTACGAACATTAGCGGTAGATGTGGTTAACAAAGAAAAGTAATATCAATATCATTGATTAGTTACATCCTGATATATCATAAGGAGTCGTAGGCCAACAAAACTTTCTGTCCCACATACATCAGTAGATTGAGGTTATCACCCCACGGTCATGAATGCTGGTCAGATAAACTACCCTCCTTTCTTTCGTGGTATTAGGCTATCTTACGTTTAATGGCAAGTTTTAAATAATATTTTTTTGTCTAAGTTCTATTTTTGTAAAGCTTGTTTGAATACAATTTTTCTGCTAGCTGCACGTAACAAGCAAACCAGAAAACTTTAGCTTCCAAATGCTGGACTGAATATCCACGTAGCATATCACACTGATGTTAAGTTAACTAGTGGCATACATTTTAAAGTACGAGTCAGTTAATAGGTAGTTTGAAAATAGGAAAAATAGGCATCTGAAGAAAGAAAAAAGCGGAGAAATAGTGTTGAAAATCATGGTTAAGTCGGAAAATAGGTAAGAGAGAAAGGTTATGGATGTTGATGAATTGGGGAGATAAAAATGTAATAAACTTTCGATACTTGATGAAGAAGGAACTCACAATGATACAGGAAGTTTGAGTTCCTTGCAATCTACAGTAGTTGAGTAGCATCTACAGGCTTTACAGTTTGTCCTTCTACTAGAAATATAAGCTAAAATTGCTGTGAAAGATAAGAAGATAATGATACGAATTTAAATTCTAAGGGTAGCACCTCAAAGGCGTAACCTACTGCTGTTAGTAGGAGCAGGGGGATTCATCTACCATTTCGTGATACCTGTATGGTTGGTAATGAGGGTACAATATGTTCACGGTATGTTATTAGTTTCTAAGGTCAGTCTAAAAATTTGGTGGACCATAAAATGGTACCTCAGGGTTGTGTGTGAGTTTTGGGAATAATTCATAATGACAGCATTATTAGTTTCTTGAACT